ACCATACCGACTTGTGCTATATGGGCCGCCATACGAACCGAAACGATGGAAGGTAGCTCTATGCGGGTCTGTGCCATTCGGCTGACTTCTCTGTGGGCTAGCCTTGCTAGGAAAGTCATTCGGCTCTACATCCTCGGTCAAGTACCTTGCAAATTTCGTAGCCTTAAAAGGACTTTGCACAAAGCGGTAAGCTCTTGTTTTTCGTTGTCCCCCATAATCGGTATCTCCGATATGTTGAAGGTAAGGATATTTTCTGTTATAGCTGTATGGGGAGACTTCGCGCCCGAAGCCGGTTGGTGCTAAGTCGCGAAATGTTTTGCGTGGTCTTACGTCCTCTGAAGGCTGTGAACTTCTATGTTGGTATCTTGTAAATCTAGGCATCCTTATGTTCTCATAACCACGTGGCAACTTAGACTGGACTCCTACGTGTGAGTCACCGGCAAACGGTTGTTGCAGCTCTTTATGCTGCTGCCCTATATAAGCAGGAAATCGGGTATATGTGAATGGTCCGCGTTGTGGGGATCCAGTCCCACGTCTTATGCGTCGTGGCTCACCAAGATACCCTGCATCAACTCTCCTATCAATTATATTGGCATGATATGGCCTTATAGTGCGTCGAAGTAGTGGTAAAGCCTCCTGGTATCTATAGTCAGGCATAGTCCGTAGACGAGGCGCACGTGTATTTCTTGGGTATGCAGCAGCTCTGACGTGTTCAGTGTGTTCAGTGTGTTCAACGAGTTGCGTTTGATCGGCCACTCGTGTATGCCTCGGTGGTTGCATGCCAGCGTAAGCGGGAAACTTTGTGTATGCTAAAGGCACTCGCCCTGGCGAGGATCGCCCGTGTCTTGTACGCGTATAGTCCCCGTCTCCGCCGAAGTCCACATCTTTGTGGGCCCGAGTTGGTTTAATACTTCGCTGCGAATTTTCATACGCTTTGGTTTCTTTAGCGCTAGTTCGCGGCATAAGCGGTTTGCCGCGTTCCGAAGCAGCCGCATGCTCCAAGTTCGCCTCCTCAGAGTCCCGAGCAGCATGTGTATCATATTCCTTTCCAGGACCGTCGTAACGTTTTGGGTATGCCGATTTGACACCTCGACCCACGCCAACGATATTTCCTTCACGTAATTGGCCGGTTTGTACTAAATAATTAAGAGCTGCAACATTTCTCGGACCGAGCGCAGACCGAAAGTAGTTTCCCAAGCGCGGATCTCTTGTCTTCACCAGAGTTTTCAGCTCTTCAATATTGCTGGAATGGAGGGCAAAGGGTGCTATAGTTCCCCGGGTTCGTAGCGCCCCAGCTTGTGTGAGAGGTTTAATGGCGTCAATATTTCCGGTTCCAAGGGCATCTGGGGCAAGTGTACCATTACGAAAGCGGACAGTTGGCGATAAGTGCTTCAAAGCTTCAAGATTTCTCCTTCTTGGATCAGCAGTATCCACAGTTTGAGGCTCGACTTTATTTTGTGTAAAATATTTAGAAATTTCAAGCTGCCCAGGACCAAATGGCGAACGTAAGATGTGTTTTTGTTGGGGCGCATTGGTTACTGTAAAGAATCTCGAAGCTTCCATTCTTCTGGGACCAAATTGTGTCACCTGTGGTCCTTCTCGTGCAAATTCGAAATATTTGGGTGCTACCGTTTCCCTGGGACCAAGGCGCAATCCAGAAAATTGGCTGGAGTCCACCAATTTGGGCGCTTCATTCAGCGCCGGCGCTAAGGCAGTACCAATATGTTTGCCCTGACGCGGCAAGCGGCTATGTTGCAAGTAATTAATAACCTCGGTGTTGCCAAGGGCAATTGGAGTATCGACGCGCTTACTCTGTGGCAGCACATCCAAGTATTGCGCACCTGCAACACAACCAGCTTCTCCTGGCATGCATTCAACTTTTCTAGCGGACCTCTCAGTTAGGGTACTTTGCATGGGCAGACCGGCGTAGATGCGCTCATTAGGGTAACCGCCGCCACCGAAACTTTGAGCTTCTTTTATTCCACCTTCCCGCCCGACGGTGGTCTGCCTCGGCACTCCAGTGCGCATAGCGTAGATGGGCTCATTAGGGTAACCAGCGCCACCGAAAATTTCAACTCCTTTCATTCCTTCTTCAGCAGCGAGCCTTGTCGCAGACTGATTACTAGGTTGATCTCTAGATATACCACCCGTTCTAAAACCACCAATTTCGCCCAATGCAAAGTAATCCAAATGTGTCAAATCTTCGGGAAACCGCAAACCAGTATCCTGTCCAGCAAAGTATTCAAGTGCGTCATAAGCTTCCGGCCTACTATCTGGCCCAAATAGGCGATGAAGCTCATTTTCGGGAAACGTTTTGAGTCTAAAATCATCGTCTTTCGAGCCAAAAGCTCTGCTCGGCTCAAAAGTTTCGTGAATTTGCCGAGAAAATGCAGCTGCCGGACTTGCTCCAAAATCAAATTCGACACTTGCACTTCCTCGACCAAACTTGTGACGCAACTCCTTTCCGAGCCAATCAGCGCGCCTTCGGAGCTCATCCCCAATTCCAGAGAAACTATCACGGTACGGACTACCACTTTCTACTCGACTTTCACCTCTAAAGGTAGGCGCTTGTACCGTAACTGTTGGAAATAGCAACTCACCACCACCGCCGCCGAACCAAGAGCCTGCAACACTCTGTTCATATTCCCGGCTTTGTGCGCTCACATCGGCTGTACCAAAGAGATCAGCATTGGGTAGAAACTCAAATTTATCTAGAAAATCGAATTTTTGTATAAAGGGTATGCTGGGTGTGGTCTTGATGGGACTCAGCTGTGCTGATGATCTCGTTGGCATTGACTTTGCCGTTGGCTTCAACTTCACAGCTGATGCAGCTCTTGCTGTGGCCGGTTTTGCTGTTGTGGACCACGCCGATGCTTGTTTTCCAACCGATGACTTCCCAGACGTGAGCTTCGCTGAGGTCTGCTTCCCATGCGACGACTTACCAGCAACCATCTTCTTAGCCGCCGACTTCTGCACAGCCTTTTTGCCCGTCTGTTTACCTTCCTCTGCAAGCTCATCAAAATTTCGGGGATGCAGCCACTGAAAGAGCTTCGAGGTGCAGGCCGTCATCTTCTTCAGATGTTTTGTTAGAATATAGTTCTTGAACATTTCGCCGCCGAAGCTTCGTATGAAGTCCCATTCATCCACGCTGATGTGCTTCGTATCTTTGGCATATTGCTTGCTGCCTTGACCGTTAACCGTGCACTTTGTGAATCTCGTGCGTTGTTCGTGACAGCCTGGGCAAACTGGACAAGACATGATAATTTTGAATTTTTTTCTTATTTAACGAATTTCAAAAGAAAAATCCGAGTAAAAATTTAAATTTTACGAAAATTTCCAATTTGTTTTCTTTATTTTCTCAGACTTCAGATGTTCGAAAATAGCATTTTTGAGCGTTCAAAAATTCAAAACTTTCCCAACTTTCCTTTGCTTTTGTTTTATATTTTATTTAATTTGGTTTTATTTTATATTATTTCATATCGGTAGGCTAGGCTCAAGTACCCATCGCTGGAGCAGCATCAACACTCTCAGGCCGCTCGCAGCTATCTTAGATAATAATCGTTGAAAGCAGTACCTAGATGACAGAACCTTGCTCTTCCCAAGACCATGCAGCTTTATAAAAAAATGAGAGACGACTTCTGCCCCATCATCGTTCTTGAGCTTTTGCAACATCGCCCAGATGGCTGGCCCCGCTTTATCTTGCTGAGGCCTGTTAAGACTCCTATATTTTTGCAGAGTTTGTCTCTTTTGAGAGAGCTCTCTAAAATATTTATTTGATTCCATCGAAACTCGGCCTACTCCTCAGAAATTTTTTGGGTAACAGTTTGCATGTAGCGCAAGGCAGACCAATGCTTTCTTTGTCGGTAGGAATAAGCGTGGCCGTGTACTGTGGCCAGTAACCCAAGAAAGAGACATTTGGCCACACTATGCAGAGATGGGCGACATATCATCACAGCTTGTGAGTTCGCTATAAGTTAGCCAAGCAGCTTTATCACTGTCTGACTAGCAAATTCTTGATCGTTATTTCGGTTTTAATATACACTGCAACGATCGGGTAGTCGGTAGAGAGCTCGAAGAAGTGAGTTTCATAAGAAATCAACTCCGCCAACTGTTTCACCGTTGTTCCATCCCCCTCCACATCGACTGGGGTATCGAAGTTTCTGCTCCAACCTTCCATTTTAGGGTTGTGCGCTTATAATATGATTTTTACAAGCAAAAAGAGTTGAGCAGCAGCACTCTGTGCAGCCTTATATGAAATTGTAGCTGCCAAAAATTGGCGAGTGTCCACATCAAAGATTATTCCACGGATTTAGTTCCCTTAAACGAAGGTTTGCATTACTAGCCGATCTTTTAACCCATCAAAGAATATTGAGTACCTCATTTGAGGCCTCATTTGGTGTGGTTTTGAGTGCGTCACTTTGATGTCATCACAACAGTTGAATAGATCCAGTGAGAAAGCTTAGGATTTTAAGCCAAACCCTTAGCAATAGAGGTCGATGAAGGCCTTCTCACATCTATTGTCCACATCAGTTTCTTGTCTAGGATGACTTACAGAAATTTTGCGTGTTTTGGTGCCTTGACAATACCAGAGAGATGCAAAGTCCGCAACAATTGGACAAATTATTTATTAAAAGAGTTCCCCCCCCCCAGTCCGCCTCATGAAGTTAGTACAAACTTACTCCTATGGACTAAAGCAATATCATGGACGTACGCAACGATTCTACCAGAGCGGCGAAACCTTCCACGCAAATTTAAAAGCATCCCGTGCTATGTTGCCGAAAGCTCGCTCTATGATCCGGTTGTCCCATCCCATTTTATTTAAATTTATTTATGTTTTTCCTGCCTTGGAAAATCGAGTACTATTTTTGAGCTCTAACGAGTAGCTTGGCAACCCTTCAGTTGTTTCTTCTTTTTCCCTTTCAATTCAAAATTTCTATATTTTAGTGCATTTGGCGTAAGGAAACAACAAAAAAAAAAATGTGAAGGGGAAAACAGAGAAAAAAATTATTATTAGAAATTTAAAAATTAAAAAAAAATATTTATAAATTTCGTAAATAAAAAAATTGAGCGATAACCAAATCCAAATATTACGAGAAATCCTAAAAATAATCTCAAAATTTTCAACCAAATAATAACAATAAATGTGCACACCATGTTGTCAGCCCAAAGTCAGGCGCGAGTGCGTCCGCTCCTACTCCGACGGTTACAATAGGAGGCGACACGAAGATCCAAATTACGTGGACGAGGACGCATGGGCCTTCATACACAGCTTCAGCAATGAAACAGAAAAGAACTATCTCCTCGCGCGGCACCTGAGAGCGGCTACCGGCGAAACGTGGAAGACACTACGTTGGCTGCTGCAAGCCGATGTAGATGCGGCACTGGACAAGCGGAACGACAAACGGCACCCGACGAAGGGGTACACCACACAGCCGTCCTTCGATAAGAGTGGTCTTTTGACCGTGCCACTCACCGATTACTTTGGGCCGGAGGAAATTGAAAAGATTATCGGCGCAAAAGGTATTGATGTCCAAGATAGTGTAAGCGTGCGGATGCATGAAGCGAAGTTTGGACACGTGGCAGCCGAACTGGAGAAGCAGCAAAAGAAGTATGCAAAGGTCTACACCGATAATGCATTGCGTCGCATGACCACTAACATGAAGCTGAAAGATGGTCGTTATGGTTGGTGGGATAGAAGAGAGCAACGAAGATCCACAATTGAGTTGGTCAAACGTAATATAGGAACTACGGGCTTTAGACGTCTGGATGCGGATCTCGAAAGACCTGCCGCTGAGCGTAGAATAGGTGAGCTTTGCAATCTTGAGTTAGTTCGCACTGCAAACTGAAAGTATTTAACCCACAGGACAACAACCCACCACAATTGGGCACTTTACGAAGTTTCAACGCAATGCTGAGAAAAATCAAATGAAAGGTCTCATACAAGCCATCAACGAGTTCTATGCAGATGTAGCTGAACTCAAACCCATCGAGGTTGCTGATGAACAGCTGGAGCTAACGCCACTGGCTGAGGAGTTGTTGGAGACTCTCGCCAGACAACCAGCTGCTGCAACCAGCCAGGAAGCCAAACTGCGCTTGTCTAACATTATACACATGCTGAAGCGAATGCCGGGCTATGAGACCTTCGAACGCGTTCTCTTCCACGAACCATTCGACCGTGATAAGCCGTGGACTTGGATGCGTACTTTCCCACGAAAAATTCCACAAACATATCTGAAGCGCATATCCGAAAGTGTTTTACTCGAGCTGAAGCGGTGGCAGCGTGAGCAGAAACTTATGCGTTTGGCGGCGGCACGCAATCGTCGACCGGCTGTAGTCAGGACGCCACGACATCACAAGCCACACGTCCGCGCGAAGGAAGATAAGTCTAAGTTCGAGGTTTTCGGTGAATGGGTTTAAGTCAAGGCGTGAGTGTAAGGGGAGGCTGGCTCGTTAGAAAAATTAACAAAATTTCATAGGTATGATGTTTGACCGAGCATCGCGACAAAGGCAATCTCGCCCGTTCATGTAAATACGGTAAGGCTGTTTCGTGTTCGACGCCGCTCTCACACATATCAAAAAACCTCTGTGCATATTTAAGCTCTTCCAGCACGAGCTTAACGCATGTCACTGGCCTTTTTTCGATTTCAACTTTTAGAAAATTTCATTGCTTTACAACTTTTTGGGACAAATAAATAAACGAAAACGTTTTCGGAGACTTTTTTCAGGATCTTTCTCTTATTTGCAATTTTTGGGGAACTTTTCAATTTTTTTTTTTCAATTTTTCTGGAGAGTTTTTATATCCAACTATTGGCTGCAATTTATCGAGAAACCTTTAATTTCGCCTTTACTTGGTTCTCCTTTCAGTCAACTGTACATTTCGAACATTACAAAAAATATCTTTACATTTCTAAAATAAATTCGATAAAAATCAACAAAAAGCTCTTGACTTCCTTTTTGATGGCGCCCAATCTTAATTGAACGAGCATGAGCTCGGCTCAAAACCGCATTAGTCTTGTGTCCACACGCCGAAAGAGACGTGTCCGTAAAAAGCCGCGCAGACCGGTCGATTACATCAGCGTGGAAGAATGGAATTTTCTGAAAAATTTATGCGACGATCAGAGTCGAGGATTTCTGGAACGCTTTGTAAACACAATGAGGGGCTTTGAGAAGGAGAAGTCGGTGGTGCTTACAAGGGTTTGCCTGTGTAAAAGGCACATGAAGAAGAAACGCAAGAAGAAAAAAGAGACGCCTAAAGAGACGCCAAAGGAATTGCCAAAAGTGCCTTTAACCAACTGTTTCAGCGACGACGGCTGTCGTATGCCCTGTGGCACGTCATATCCACCACTCACCTGGAAACCGTTGCGACAAGCACTGGCCGTGAAATATGGTTTGAGGCCTGCAGCAGTTGGGCAGAACAATATTCGGAAATCACCACAGAAGCTGCACGAACTGCGCTCATTTGATATTTCAAAGGGTTACCGATCGCAATTAGGTGCTGAACGGCTAGGCGACGTGTTGCCTCATCAAGACTTATTGCAGAAAATTGGAGCTCAACAACAGCGAGGTCCCACTACGGCTGGTCGAAAATATTCTATGTCTCGGGTGAATTTAGGTGCGAGTGACGCTCCTAAAACACTTTCGCCAACACTGAAAGCACGACATGCCACCGCAAAGGAGCATAAGAACTTATCGGCGCTCATTGAACATTTATCTCAACATTACACCCACATTAACGAAACTGAGGCTCAGCGTTTATACGAAGAGCAGATGCGTAGACTTTATGCCGAGGCAGAGGTGAGTTCGGAAGTACTCTAGTCGCCGGTTTTCTGCTCAATTGGTAAAACACTTCTCAGTTTCAGCATTACATGCACCAAATCTATGGAAATCCCTATGACTTGGACCAGCCATGGCCTTGGCTGGACTTCTTTTCAACGGAAATAGGCGATAAATACCGGAGAAGGTTCTCGTATTAAGCAAAATTTACGATTTTAAGGATATATCGAAGGAAAATGAAGCACTAAGTGTAAAATACATATGTTAGGTGGCTGGTTGAAGTGGTCATCAGTTCAGCGGGCGTCAGTTCAATTAGCCACTGATATGTGGAGTTTGTAAAATTAAGCAGACGTCGTGTCTCCTCCCCGCTATCTCACTCAAATCTTCCTTAGAGGCATCAGCCTACTCCTCCAAGGTGCGAGGCATTCGGAAATGAAGTGCGTTAAGATTCTTAATTTCTTTTCTTCTTGGCAACTGCAAAATGTTAAAATTGACTAAAACTTAAGGGGCAAAGAATTTCAGAACAAACAATGTATAAAATTTGAACATCAAAAAAGCAATCTTGAGGTTGAAAAAATATTGGGACAAACAAATTTTTGGGACAAACTTTGGGACAGTTTTTTCTCGAAAATATTTTTTAATTAGAATATATTTCTTAAACTTTCGTTTGGAAACAAATTTAAGGACAAAAAATTTGGAACAAAAGAAAGTTTTGGGACAAAAAAATTTGGGACATTATTTTCAATATTTATCAAACCTAAAACTCTCAATTTATTCAATCTATTAGTTTTACAAAAAATATTGGGAATTTTGAAAAAAATATATTTTCACCTTTAGAAGATTTTAGGACAATTTTTTTTAGAAAATAATTATCAAATTGAAATATGAAATACAATTACTATATTTTTATTCCATGATAATATTTTTGTTAAAAATATCGGCACAAAATTTTTGAAACACAAGATTTGGGAATAAATAACTCGATAATTGCTCGTTTAAGAGCTTTGTTTCCTCCTTTGGTATCAGTATATTGAGGCAGATTTTAAAATCACTCAATGGAAGCTGCCTGACTGAAATTTTAACCATATTTAAGTATATTCTTGAATTTTTGTAACGTGGCAAGCCGCATATACCAGCCGACAGCACTAAAAGTCGTTCACACACAAGGAGAGAGAGAGAGTCTCCCTCGATTACTTTCTTCCCAATGCCCTTCGCTTTTCATTGCACAGCATAATCCGATTGTATCTTCCCCGCTTATTGAGTCGACCGTAAAAGTCTATATCATACAGTGACACTTGTATACTATTCTGTTCCATAACTGTGCGCATATAGCGCGCCATCGCGGGATCCAATTCGTCGATACTCTTCTCTACTTCCTTGCTCTCTGTACATTTCGGTTTGTGACGGATAATCTTCAATGGCATTAGTGGTCCTCTTGGCACTTTGTAGGGCTTCAGAAGTGCTTCGAATTCAGGCGAAACATTTTTCGGACATTCGGCGGTGGTTCGACGCGCGAGAATGGATTTTGGTTTCTGTGGATCACATTCATTGGGTTCCTGAGTTTTTGGTGCAGCGAGCGAGTTGCGTATTTTTATGCGTTCCATACATTTTTGACGATTCAGTGCGGCGGGCGTTTGGAGCATCTTCGACTCTTACGGGATATGTTACTTTAAACCAGGTCCTCTTTTGCTTATTCTCAAAAAAAAAAGTTATAAATCGGAAAATGCAAAAACTGTTTTTAGTTTTTAATTTGGTTTTCTGAAAGCTGACTTTAAAAATTGTGTGTACAACTTGTAGGCAGGGTTGCCCAAAGAATTTACATTTTGTTTCCGAAAGATCTTCAGAAATCACAGCAAGCTCCTTAAAAGCACCGAGCAACGTACACACATAAACTTTCATGAGGCAGAGAACGACTGAGAAGGCGCCCAATTCTTTATTCCCACAAATTTATTTTGTTACTCGGAGCTCCCATCTCTCTTTTGAGTGTTCTCATGCTCAGCTCGAATTAAAAATGCGTTATAGCTCCTCAGATCCGGTTTCCTATTATACCAAGATTTTGACTAAAGGGAATTAGAGCATTACTCCCCGTTCCACGAACACACAGAATCGCCTTTGAACCGTAGCTGCTTTTTCTTCCATGCTCTACACAAACTCACACGTGAGGGCTCCAAATGAAGAACCCAACATCATCATAAGACCATGGCACCACACCAGTGCCACCAACGTCAAGCTCACACACTGTCCAGCCTCCGAACCAGATTTTCTCTGCCACATTCCACAACTTGCCATTTACAACACGGCCAGAACTCAGCTCTACCAACAACAAAATGGGTAGATTTCAACTCTTTTCAATAACAAAATTTACACTTTATTGGCATTGTAACGGTACTTGTGACTTAGCTGCCACACTTTCCTGTTTACTTTCGCATACACAAGTAATAGTTCACACCTCCTCTTAGCCCCGCGCCAGCCTTTGATTTATTGTCTTGTGCATCGGTTCGAATTGGTTTTGGCTGTCGTGAGCTCCAAAAGTTATGCCATGAAAACAGCGTACACAAACAACGATAAAGCACACGCCAACGGTCCGTCCGTACCAAAGGCAAGCAGGTCAAGCGTAAACTGTTCAATGTGTGCTGCATTGGATTTATGCATGTTGCAAGTTTTGATGATGCATTGTTGCCAGTGGCAATAACAATAGTTGAAAGTGTGGTTGGTTGGGGTTTTGGTCGGTATTGGAGGGAAATTGATTTGAATGGGAAGAACATTGAAGGAGGACTTGAATAATGAGAGAAAAAAGCACTACTGGAGCTCCGAGCACGCGAGTTCTCTATATGAACGCAATAATTGCAGGTCGGAGCTACTAATAGTTGACTCTAAGCGGGCGAGTAACACTGCTCCGAGCTCCGACTATCATAAATAATTACCGAACACTAATCCTTATAACGGTGTTGATAGCCAAAAACTACGTATAGAGTCTACACAGTCCTGGCATATATCCAAGTGACGCTTATACCCAGAGATCTCCGCATTCATACTTCTTACACGGCAAAGTGTCCAAGAATTTAGCGAAAACTTTCCAGTCACATGTGCTCAGTCTCTTCAAGTATATTCAGCTCTTCCATCTCGGCATTCTACTCTCCAGAGCGCTCCTGCTAAGAAACCGAAAATACGGCTGAGGGAAGTGCTTAAGTGGAAAGACACAACCATCACAACCACGTACTAAACAGGGTCCACCGCATACTCTGACAGACCAACTCATCAATACTTTGTATCTTAGCTTCCAGAGTCCTTTATGAAAGCAGTTGTAGCTGAAAAATTTCAAGTCGGAGAAACTTAAATGGGTTCTTCGCACTGCTCGGCAGTATTCCCAAGACTGAACCGCAGAAAACTTCAAAGAAACTGAGCTTCGAATGAAGTTGCTCACCACACACATAAGTTGCACTGAAACCCTCTTGGTCTAAATTATGCACGCTTTCTTCTGAACAGCGTTTTTACTCGTAACGCAGTGCCCTATCATTTGTATTTGGCTTACTGGGTTACATTGAACTTTACTTTTCACCTCTCCCAACTCGCCGCTTATTTTAGTCCACACGCCTCGCCTCATTGTCTACCTTATTGACTTCATTGAAGTGTTTATTTGGCATTCCAAACAGCATTCTATAACTCCCGCACATTTCGACACTTCGTCTCTGGACAAAGTTTTCTACGCAAGGCCAGCGGCTGCTACATTGACTTCCACCCGCGTGTCCAGACACCCCAACCCGCCGGAGAATGTTGTAAACAATGGTAATAAAAATATTTAGTAGTGAGCAGCGAGGTAAAGCTCACAGCCTCAGACAGGCACTCGCGCGGTAAAAAAGCACACAAATGAAGCGAAGGAAAGGTAGTGAAAGAGGCAGAGAGGCTGTGGGTTAGAGAGAAGGCGCAGCGAGGTGAAGCCAAAGTTTACGCACAATATTAGTATTTGTATTTGTATTTGAATTGTTTGTTTGTGTGAAACTCTTTTCCACTTCATTTGCGTGCTTTTTATTTGTGTTGATGTTGCTGTTATTGCTGCTGCTGCTGCAACATGCCACTGTCGATTTGTTTGAGCAATGCAGAAACAAATGCTCCGATTGCCCACATCATTTTCTTGAAATTTATTTTCTGCTTTCTTTCTCTTCTTCTTCTTCTTGTTTACATCTTCTTCGCGGAAGGAGTGGAAATTTTTTACTGCGCTAGAAAAAACCGACTTGCAGCAACTGCAGCTGCAGCGCGTAGCTTTTAAGTGAGGTTATGGTAGGCACTTGGATGAGGAAGAAGAAGTCAACAAGAGGAGACACAGGCAATAGCAAGTTTCGCGAATGTTTTTTATTTTCGATCATTTAAATTTTTTCTTTCCTTCTTTTTTCGATCATTTAAAAGTTTCTTAAAATTTTGAATGTGTTTTTTTTTTTAATTTTTTCATAATAAATTTTTAAATAGTTTTTGGAGTAATTAAAAAAAATTCATACAAATTTTTATGATCTTTTTCAATTTTAGATGCTTTTACGACTTTGTCCAATAATTTCTCGATCCTTTTTTAATTTCAATAAAAATTTAGGGATCTTTTCCCAAATTTTCAAAATTTTTTTTAAATTTTAAGAAAGTTTTTACAAAATAAAAAAATAAATAAAAAAAAATTTTCAGATTTTTTAAAGAAAAATTCATAAAAACATTGATTTTATAACATTTTTTTCTATTTTTTTTTTAGATTTCTTAAGACTCTCGAGCCTTTTCTACAATATTTGCTATTTTTAAAAAATTTTTTGGTGCACAAAAAGAATCATAAGAACATTAAAACTTTTATTTTATATTTTTCAATATACGTAAACCTTTTTTTCAATACTTTTTCAATCTCAGACAGATTTTGACATTCTTGTTTCGTTACTTTTTTTTCAGTTTTCATAAATTTTTTGTAAATTTAAATTTTTTTATTTTTTATATTCTGATTTCGAGATTATTTTTCTAGTTTTTTTCAACATTCTACCGGTTTTTTGAACTTTAGATAATTTTTTATATATTTTTTAAGTGCATTGCACCTTCAGCCAAACTTCACCATTCCGTTTCACTTTCTCGAAGATTTAGCAGTAAAAGTTTCTTGGCAGTATTCATGTTCTCCTCACCCCTTATTGCCACTAAGTGATAGTTTTTGGTGACAATGTGCACTTTTACTAACTGTATAGAAATTTTCAAGAATTTTTCGCAAAAAAAAAATTCGAAAAAGCTCACTTGAAATTTATTGCATTGAAAGAGTTCAAAATTTCTTTGCGACAATTTTTTTGTGCGAAAGTTTTTCTACTGCAACTTTTAACAAAAAAAAGAGGTCAATAACTATTTTTTTGAAGCAAAAGTTAAAGCAAATTTATGCACGTCGTAAGTACGAATTATTTATTGCAAAAATTATTTGCAATAAGAATGAAGTAAATTTTAAAAAAAAAGTATGCGAAAGTGCAAAAAAGAATTTAAATGCTGGTAAAATATTTATATGTACACATTTCTTAAATATTAATAAATTCTTAGCAACAAATATTCCAACATAAAAAAGATAAATTTATTAAATTCTTATATTCTTCAACATTTCAAACTTTTATTTACAAGATCATTTCAATAACAATTTATTGA